GTTCACTGCCTTCAGACATCAGTCTGAAGGCAGTGAACCTTTATCAGTTTGGTGGATTTTCTTTTAGACATTTCCATAATTTTATGTGCGATTTCAACTCGTCCTCTGCCGTTTTCTCTCTCTCTCGCACCGCTACTCCGCTGATACAACACGGAGCTCCGCAGGGAAATCCCGTAACGAAAATATTTACTCTAATATCTGCTGTAACATGCACATGTGATACATCGTTGAAAAGCTTATTTTATGCACTTTCTAGTACTTTTTGAATTTTTTGAATGCCTGCCTGACACCAACTCACACACATCTTCATTCACAGTCTTACTTGTAAATCGATTTTTCTTTTCTTGGACGGTTTGATGTTAGCTTGTCCATGTCTCAGTTTTATTCGCTGGGAAAATCAATAAGCAGCTTGAGGCGACTCTGCTGCTCTCTAGTGGCGAGAAGCCGTAATGTTGGCTGGTAACAATTGGAATGCATTATGGGAGATGTAGTTTGTAGTCAATTTGTCCTCAAAACCTATTTTAAGTCAATAATCGGCCTATAAAATGCTGGGGGGCCACATGTGGCCCGCGGGCCTTGAGATTGACACATGTGCTCTAGACAAACATTTCCACTTGTAATGCTCTTATTTAGGACAATAATCACATAAAGAAATGTGATTTGTGTCACTGAGCTGAACATTTCAAATTTGTTGGTAATTATTGATTATTTTGTTGAACAAACATTGGAGAAAATAGTAAAAATATCAAGCTGGTCTGGGGGGGGTTTATCGATACAACGATTAATCAAAATTCTTACCATGAAGAGAAATTTATCACAATAAATGATAAACAATACAATAAATACCTACCTCTAGTCCAACGTGATATTGAAGGACATTTCTGTAAGTTTTTGCATAAATTGTGATTTGAATTAGGTGTAAATTAGGTGATAAATCAACGCTGTAGCTGCACAATCCCTGAGTAAACTAACTGACGACAGGAGGAAAAACTTAAATTCTTCTCAAAAAGGACAATTTCAGCTAAAGCAAAGAAGTGACTGGCTGATTTTGCTACTTCAGAGAAGGTCATCTGGTATTCTCATTGGTATCTTTGAGCAACCAATCCAAACAACCTTGTCGGCTGGACAAATTTCCCTCCTCCCCAGGGTCGCTTCATTAATCACTGCTGAATCGCCGAGAAGCCGGTTCTGGAACTAGAGGACCAAACAGTTCCAGGACTATCAAATATGATTTGATTTGTTTGGAGGGAAGCAGCGCTGATACCTCCAAATTTATTAACGCTTTCCATTAATTGTTCATGACTTCATTTCCTGTTCTTGAGTGAGCTCAGTAACGGCCGGAGCAGCCGATCTTCCTAAAGAGTGAAAGAAATGCTGACCTAGACGAGACCTCGGGTAACTCCCCGTCCTGAAGCAAACAGTTCCTGTTTTTCACCTTGCGACAGAGCAGGCACACATCCTTCAATTCTACTGAAGGAAGCCGCTACGTGTGCAAAAGCAGAAAGGGGAAAAAGAAATAGAAATGCAACCTCAGACGTGGCCAAAATAGCATTCTTTGCAGATGTCAGGCTATTTTTCAAATTCTGGCATAAGTAGATGAGGGAATGGAAAAACAAAAAGAAATCTTGATGACATGGGATATGATTAGTTGGTATTTTACCCAGATAAATATTTGCAATGAAGTTGTGCTTTTTAATTTGCAACAAATAGGCAAAACAAACAGAGGAACTGATTTGGAGCAGAGGGGAGGAGGTGGTGGGGGGGGGGATTAAAAAAGCAAAACATTTTGCAGGAGTAGGCTCAGGGTTAAACCCATGTTGACTCAAAGTGAACCTATTAGTCATCTGCTCAGCTTTGAGTTACACCACAAAATTTGTCAGGGGCTGGATGGCAGAAAAACTGAGATGAAACACAGATGTTGGCTCGGCTCTTTTGTATTTTCTTCTTTTCACTGATGTTTATCAGAGACGCCAGCCTTGGAATCACTCCTCTCTTTTCTTGTCCTCATCTAATCAGAGAGAGAGCTTGTGTTTTTAAAAACCAGAATCCTCACAGACTGCTCCGTCTTCTGCCAGCTATGTCCCAACAGATAAAACTACGAACAGAATGTGCTCTGAAATCTGTTCCACCATAATCAATTTCATTTTCCCAACCTTGTTTGAAGGCAGATTCATTTCAACCAGACATATGAGAGTTAAACGCCCACACCACAAGGGGGCCCCCAAGAGCACCAAGTTACCATGTTGGTTAAACATATAAGATTCAATAATACAAACTACATAGTTTTACACACAAAAAACAACTTCTATATTATTTTAAGGTTGCTACACAATAAATAATGTATACTGATATAAAACTTCTTAACCTGTTTACTGTAAATTTATGATTTATCATCTTATGTTACTTTCAAATAGGTAACATTTTTTTCTGGATGATGAATTGTTGCAAAAGTTAAATGATAATATTGTTGTTTTGAGACAATTTTCAAGTAATGTATTGATAATGGCATAATAATGAGTCTCAAGGATCAATAAAATGTAAGTTTTAATGAACATTTAACACTGGAACTGGGAGACATTTTAAATGTCCGAAATAAATAAACAAAAACAACAAATAAAATGAATTATGAAGTCTCTGTTAACAAACTTGTCCTTCAATAAAAGGGGTAGTTAAGACCAAAGGGCCAAAAGAGAAAAACAATAAATCATGCAAATGGAAATGATTAAGCTCACTTTAATTTAGTTTAAGTGATTAACTGATTTAGCTGCTCCCACATATGTGGTGTTCGTCGCGCCAACGCCTGAATCACAGGCTGACGGTTCCTCTGATTATATATTTCATGTAACTGCCACTGATTTTTAATGACTTATCACTGGAACAAGTTATTTTTCTCATTTATTGGAAACATCGCAAATGCAAAATTGTGCTTTTTAGACAAAGATTTGCGCACATTTGAAATGAAAACGCAGAGCTAATTGTATGGTAAGAGTAACCTGGGAATGAACAACCATTTCAGGTTGGCATGTTCGTATGGGGGGGCACCAAATGAAAACCCGGTTAGGGCCCCAAACAGGTTTGGGCCGGCCCTGATTTCAACACACCATAAAACCTCTTTTTGCTAAATGTGCTTCCAGACAATGAATCAGGTGTTACTCACAAGCTTCGTGGATCCCTGGGTTGTCACTGAACTCCAGCACGTAGAGGTGGCGCCCCTCCACGCTGCGCCCAATGCTGTAGATGCGGGTGATGTAGGGGCAGTCGCTGTGCACCGCAAACAGCACCCGCACCATGTCCTCGTATCGGTGATGCTGAAAGTCGGAGCCCGACGCCGGGAGCCCCGTCAGCCCCAGCAGAAGCACGCAGACCCAGGGAACAGTCCTCCTTTGCAGCATGGTCCCCGACCCCCTCAAAAACACACCACACACACACACAAAGGTGCTTTCCCGAAACTATCCACAACACACAGCTGTCAGATGTGTGTTTTTTACATGCCAAACATTTTCCTTACTGCTCTTTTCTTTTCTTGGTCCTGATCTCCCACTGCCTCCTCCCACATTCAGACCTCGGAGTGAAGAGCAAGCAAGGACAGCCCCCCCTACTCCGTCTTTGTCTCACTCTCCTCCTCCAACAGCTGCTCCTCTTTCACTCTCTTCCCCTTTGGGTTCTTGTCAAGTACATGCTACTTGCTTTATTAGTGCTTTCGAAAGCTTCCCAAAAGCCCCTCCAGGCTCTCTCCCTCTCTCTCTTTGCGCACAGAAATTAGCTCGGTCTGTGTGAAGCGCTCATTTTCTCTGTCTTTAACTCAACTTATATGCTGCTTTCCATGGGAAAGAGGGGTTGTTTCCACGGAGCTGCTTTTCCCAGTCCTCCCAGTCCTCAATCATCCATTCATTAACTCTTAAGTCAACACACAGCCTCTGTGTTTGAGAGGGTGCATGCATGTGTGCCTGCGTTCCTCGGATGAATCTATGGACAAGCTCTTTCGCAACCTTTCGGGTGCTTTTTGCGGCATTGTTTCTTCAAATCAAACAGTAGCCACATAATTGCACAATTTGACGTTTGGAAAATAAATTCCCTTAGTGAAAGTAACTCGATTCTTTAGCGCTATTATCTTAAAATATTTAGTGTTTTTTGGTCATATTAGCTGCGCTTCCATTAAAAGTGTCTGCAAAATTATGTCAACATTCTGCTGATGTCGAAAAAACATAATTTCGCAACAAGAAACGCAATTAAAATCACATGTGAATAAGTTTGTTTATGTCTTAAGTCAATAAAAAAAAAAAAAACAAGCGCGCCATGATCCTCCAACTACTTACTTTCTGCCTTCTTCTTCTTCGTGGTTTGCGCCAGTGGTGGCAACATCCGGTTGTAGATTATTTGACTCCTATGATGCAGTTTTTCAAAAATAAATACATTTATCAAAATACCACAAAATATTAGCACCAAAACTTTTAATCAAAAAACGAGATTTTTTTTATTTAATTGGTGTGTTTCAATTAAATATAGCAAAATTGATTTTAGAAATGTCAAATTGTGCAATTATGTGGTCACTGGAAACGTTTTGCGCACATTTGTAATGGGAATGCAGCTACTGCCTTGCAAAAAGATTGTACGCTATTCATTTTTTTCAAATTTGGTACCTTAGAATCACAATCTGTACTTTATTTGATAGAGCAACACAAAGTAATAACAAATTAAAGGGCTCCGTCTTCTGTTTTGGCAACTTTATTTGCCCCACGCCATGTGTATTTTTAATGGGAATTGTTCTCTCAGAAGCAGCCGGTGTAGCCTTCCTCACTTGGTTGTCACCTTCTTCTCTAGTATGACAGAATAAATCACTCTTCAGAATGTGACTTCTAAGTGGCCCCACAGCCGTGGGAGCCCCTGAAGGTTGCATGCAGTTTCTCATCACACCACTAGGTGGTTCTAAACATATGCATCGATTAAAAATCTCACCACAAACACATGTTACTATTATTATTATTTTGGGCAAAATTCAATCATCTTATCCATATACACATACATACATTTTTCTCTCTGTTATACCGGGCACTGACGCACAGAAAAAAACATTACAGTTTCTTCTCCCAGGCTACAACATTACCACTGACCAACTGACGCTATTTCCGATTCAAATCAGTGACGTAGCACGCAGCTCAGATTCTGTAAAACGCCTGAGGCTGAACAAAAATAAAAACAACTATATTATATAAATGAATACAAAAGGAGTGTTTTATCCATCCATCCATTTCCTGTACACCCTTGTCCCTAGAGGGGTGGGGAGGAGCTGGTGCCTATCTCCAGCTAACGTTTCGGGCAAGAGACGGGGTCACCCTGGACAGGTCGCCAGTCTGTCGCAGGAGTGTTTTATCCATTTATCCAACACAAAGACAGAAATACTGAGCCAAACAAGATGGCTGTTAATGTTAATTCAACACTTTGATGTGTGGTTAAGAAAAAATTAATGTCTTCGCTCACTTTGTCCGCTGCTATTGCTAAAACTAAAGGCATGCTAACGTTCGGCCCTAACGTAATGCGCCAGTTAAGCTAACCGGAAGTTGCATGCGCTGTAAACAACCATCCTCTTCACTGCGAAGAAAGAAGTGCTGAGCCGAACAAGGTGGCTGTTAATGTTAGTTCAGTATTTCAAAGCCTAGCCAACACGGACTGACTGGCTCCCTTCCCTTCTTCCGCTGCTATTGCTAAAACTAAAGGCATGCTAACGTTTGGCCCTAATGCGCCAGTTTTACACTATTAAGTTTCCCGGAAGTTGCCTGCGGTATAAACAACATCCTCCACTGCTAAGAGAGAAGTGCGGAGCCGAACAAGATGGCTGTTAATGTTAATTCAACATTTCGAAGCCTGGCCAACACGGACTGTATGGCTTTGTTCACTTCCTCCACAGATATTACTAAAACTACAGACATGCTAACATGCTAGTTTTACACGATTAAGCTTGCCGGAAGTTGCCTGCGCTGTAACCATCCTCTACTGCAAAGAGATGATCGAAGTCATCGTCCACAGCTTTTCCTGATGATCGCTGATCAACCCGGTTGAAATTCTAGGGAAGGAATCCAAGTCAATGAGAGAAAGGCCAGATGAAACAGGTAAGCAAGATTAAAATACAGCGGAATTGCACAGGAAGGCAATGTCCAAGCTAGTACATTTATGAGGTGAACGAAAAATAAAATAGTTTTGACCATTTCTTTAAAAATATAAAAAAGTTTGATATCAATTAGTATCAGCTTTAGTTGCAGTTACACCTGCAAGCACATCTTTGCAAAAGCTCAAGCTCAATATAATTATTTTTTAAGTTTTCTTTTAGGTTCTCGGTTAGATTCATTTGTAAAATTTAACTGGACCATCCTAACGTGAAAATTATGCTTTGATAGAAACCACAACAGGTAGTTTTTCTGCTTTGCCCAATCCTCAAGACTTTTGCAGCCTCTAGCAGAATCTCAAGTTATATAACTTTGTGTGTAAGCGATGCATAATGTTGACAGATTCTCCAACCTGAGCTGTGGATCTCTGCAGCTCCTCCAGGAATACTGCAAGCCTCTCAACTGCTGTCCTGATTAAAGGCTTTTCTTCTTAAACCTGTCAGTTTTAGTAAACAACTGCATCTTGGTAGTGTTGCAGCTGTTAAAAAAAGAAAACTTTGTGCTTCCAAATATTAAAAACAAGTGGGTTTATGAGAGGGACAAGTCAGAAATTATAGAAAATCTTACTATGGACTTGAAAAAATGTGAACTGTTTTTGTGTAAAATTCAATATCTAACATATGAATGTGACCAAACATTGCAAAATAATAGAATTAAAAGATTAGCAGCGTATAACAATGTTTTCTTTGTTTTTTCTTCTTCTGATGCCTTCACAGAACAGCTGGATTTATACTGAGATTAAATTAGGCTCAGTCTGACATAAGAGGACTGTTTTCATTTTTCTCCTACTCCCCAGTGACTTGTTAGTGGTGATTAAGCTAGTGAAGTCCTTAAAAGTTTATTTGTTCTTGCCGTTTGACAAAACGTGCAGAAACTAATACTTTTACAAAAAGGCCAGATACTTTAATTAAAGTTTAAACAGATATAGCTGGTTGAAACACAGATACAGCCCCTGAAAACACAAACATTCAGAAGGAGCCAAGATGACTAATAACGTTACTGGAAGAAAGAGAAGCCTTTTGCCCAGAGGGTTGTGTAATAGTATGAGGAAATAAAACACATAAAGGGAAAAGAAATCATAAGTGGCGCAAGAGAAGGAGGAGGCTTAAGACATAAAGGAAGGGAATTAATTAAAAGGGATGTAGCAAAAGGAGAAGAAAAGAATGGATGAAGAAATCAGAAAACCTCTCCCTGCTAAACATCCCAATAAAAGTTACTTTAAGCCGGTCCAGATATCCGAATATACTTACTGTAACAGAATAGCTTATCATGGATTAGATCAAAGCTAAATATAGTAAAATACAGGCTCTTAAAAACATATTAATGCTCTTTTAAACCTTTTCCACATTATCTCACGTTACAAACAAGAACCTCAGTGTTTCACTGGGATTTAAAGCGATAGATGTTCAAGTCCAGTTCGTGAAAGTTTAGAGTTTAGTCCAGATTTTCTGCTCCGTTGACCAGAAGTTAAAGACTCCAGATATATGATAGGAAGAGTATGAGAGTGTATATCATCGTCATCAGCAATATATGGAACAAATAAAAATGGAGATCAACCAAGGAAGAAATTGTCTCTGGTTTATTTTGCAAAACGCACTCCATAGTGCGGAGTGCGTTTTGCATCAGGACTGGTACAAGGTACAAGTCTAAACAGTTTGTGTCCAGGATGTGTGTGGTCTGCAGACGTGTTATCTGCCTGTTTCCTGAACTTAAGATAAACTCCAACAATCCTCTCTGCACGCCTGACTTTTTGTTGCAGTTTGACTTTAAGTTTCAAAATGGCCGAATTAAATCCCATTCAAAGCAGGACAAAGCTGTGGAATAATTTAAAACCTGCCTGATGTTTCAGCCAAATTTAAACAACTGGAAGAGACATACCGCAGCAAAACTTCGTTCTACAAAATATAGACTCAAATCCCAGATACTTATTTCAGATTTTTATTTGGAAAGGGAAAAAAAATAATTTTCCTTCATAATTATCCATTAAGTTGTCTTGGTCTATCATAAGAAACCCAATGAAATGCACATAGTTTCATGATTATGAAATGGAAAAATTTAAGAAGCATGACTGTAGTATAAATACAATGAAGTCTAGTGCGGTATCTTTTTTACTACGTCAGACTGATGTTCTAGCTGTTTCTGCTCTGCTCAGTATTTTAAAGCCTGTCCTGGTTAGAGGTTTGCTGTTGCAGCTTTTACAAGCGGTGGCATGAACCTAACAATCTGGTGAAGCTGTTGTGGAAGCCCCGTTTGACGGCGCTAGCGGATGACTGATGGCTCAGAAACTCACAACCAGCCCGCTCTGTATGATTTGTGACTGAGGCTGTGCATAAACGCTGCACCAGGGGTGTCCAAACTGCGGCTCGTGGGCCATTTGTGGTCTGAAACAAATTTGTTTGTTGAACTTTTTAGAGTAAAATTATTGCAGACATAATTTTCTTATATAGAGACTTTTACTGAAACTTTACTAAATATGGTAAAAGTTTTGAAAGAAAGTGACCCAAACCTTGAGTGAAACTAGATGCCTTTTTTTAGTACAGCAAACGTGCA